ATAAAGATGTTTTTTTTTAAATGCCGTGCACCAGGATTTTAATGGGAGTAAACAATGTATTGCTAGCAACCTGAAAACATAGTTTTTATTATTTGTCCTTTTCATTGTTTGCTACATTAATTAAATATAATGTGAAAGTCCCTATATGTAGGATTTGAAAATGTATTCCTCAGCGCCATCTATGGTGATGGTACACAATTCACATTTAACATAGCTACACCCATAGAACTAACGTATAGGAACCCTGCAATGAAAGGGCTCAGTCCTGCATATAAACTCACATCAGTTTTCCTCAGGCATGTCTGATCTTTGAACAAAAACAATAAAAATGTCTTATCACATAAACATTCTACAAATAGAGGCTTTAGCTGCAGTCAGACACATGCTTATGAGTAATGTGCCAAGCTTAATTTTAGCCTAGTAGTTCTAAATACAAAGTAATAGCAATTTCCTGGTTTTCTGTATAAATTGGTCATGAAATGTGATCTGATCTACACCAAAGTCACAAATAACAACCACAGTATTTCTAAGCTGCTAAATCACAAATAGTCATGAGCTTTCATGTCTTCATTGAACACACCCATTCAATATACAAAGTGATGGTGGAAAAAGTAATAGCAACAGTTTTTTTAATAACTGGTTGAACCACCTTTGGCAGCAATAACCTCAAGGAAGCGCTTCTGTAGCTGTGGATTAGACCTGCACAGTCTTCAGGAGAAAATTTGTATTCTTTCCTACAAAACTTCTTCAGCTCAGCCATATTCTGGAGACATCTGGTGTGAACGGCTCTCTTGGGATCACTCCACAGCATCTCTATTGGGTTGAGGTCTGGGCTCTGACTGTGACCCTCCAAAAGGCAAGTGGTCCAGAGGCAGCGAAGCAGCCTCAAATCATAATACTCCCTCCACTGTACTTCACTGTTGGGATTATGTTTTCATGTTGGTACGCCGTTTCCTTTTTAACGCCATACGTAGTGCTGTGTGTTCTTCCCAAACAATTCGACCTTTGTTTTCGTTGTCTACAGGACATTTTCCCAGTAGTGTTGCAGAGAGTCAAGGTGGTCTTTGGCAAACTTCAGGTGTGCTATAATGTTGTTTTTGAAGAGCAATGGCTTCCTCTGTGGTGTCCTGCCATGGATACCATGCCATTTTGCATATGGTTGACTCATGAGCAGAGATGTTAACCAACTCCAATGAATCCTTCAAGTCTTCAGCTGTTACTCTAGGGTTCTTTTTACCTCACTGAGCATTCTGCATTGTGCCTTTGGATGATCTTGGCTGGGCACTTGCTTCAATGGCGAGTAGTCACAGTACCAAATTGTCTCCATTTATAGGCAGCATCTCTAACTGTGGACTGAATATCTAAAGTCTTTAGCCCCTTTCCTACTACCCAAACACCGATGTAAACTCGTCACACCTCAGGTTTTGACAGTATAGTTCAGTCTACACCGAGTTTCTATACTTTAGAAGATGAATGAATAACTATTACGAAATAATGTTGACTGTCTCACTAGCTTCCATGCTGCTTTGTTTACAACTCTGTTTACCAGCGCACATATTTGACATCACCAATGTGATGATGTCAAATATGACGTACCAGAGGGGAAACAAGCTTGTCTGCTGGAAAGTTAATCCGGGTCTGTCAGCAGTGGGAAAGCCATCGGAAACCAGTTAAAGGCCGGTTTAGGTATTTAAAAAAAAAAATGTATACACAGTACTTTTGGTGGAGAAGCGATGAGTGAGATGATGCTTTAACCCTTTCCAGCTACATACAAATCAACAATTCTTGATTGTACATCTTCTAAGACGGGGGTGTCAAACTCAATCGCACAGGGGGCCAAAACCCAAAGCACACTTTAGGTTGCGGGCCGAACAGGATAAAAATTTATTGAACAGACTAAAACTAAACGTTTTTTTGAACATAAATATGAATCGAAACAGACAGGACATAGTATTATTCCAAAATAAACAAACTTGAACTTAAAATCAGCAACCGTATTTGCAAACAATTGCTTTTTGTCTGGGCACAAGACGTCGCACACTTTCATCATGCAGCTCTTCAGAAACTCGCCCTCGGTAAATGGCCGTGCTCATTTGGCTATCTCCTATCTGCCGCAATAAAACTTGCTTTCACAGCAGCTTCACTGTGTGATATCGCTTTGGTGAAAACGTCTGCTGTGATGTCAGATTCCTCTTCAACTCCTCTACCTTCTAGCTTCTGCTCTGCATTCACGTTTTTCAGCTTGCCCTGGTGCTTTGTCTCGTAGTGCCATCTTAGGTTATATTCCTTAATTACAGCCACATTAGCTCCACAAATAAGACATACAGGTTTACTGGCAATGTCAATAAACATATACTCAGCCTCCCACCGGTTTTCAGAATCAACTTTTCTCTTGGCCACTGTCAGGGGTGTTAGGAACCGCTCGAACACACTAATGAGCGAGCAGAAAAAATAACGGACCCAGGTAGCTGGCTTCGGTGCAAGCAGTGGGATTTATTTACAGTGCTAGTAGTGAACAAAATATTTACATGAATGAGGAGGAGTGAGAGGACCAGGTGTCGATCAGTGGTAGCAGGAAACACAGTCAATGGAGTGATGATGGGCCGGGCTGAGGATGTCGGATTCACTCCTGGGCTGGTCGGGGTGGAGATGATGATGACTGAGAGAGAGTAACAGAGAGACAGATTAAAGGGGACTGTGCATCGACCCGTGAAGTGGTGGCTGATAGAGTTGAGGGAAACCAGGATCCAGAGGAGCGGTCGGATGAGGAAGAAAACCAGATGCGGCGGGGCAGGATAGAGACTCGGGTAATAACTGAAAACAGAGAGAGAACTCGGCAAAAATGATAACATACACGGGGCCTGAAGACAGAGAAAGAACTGGCAGGGGAGTAAACGGTGAGCAGTGTATAAATAAGAAGGGGAACTAAGGAGGCGCAGCTGGTGAGAATCAGTGAAGCGAGGCAGGTGTGTCTAATAGTGCAATTAGTGCAAGGGAGCTGACTAGTGTGAGGGAAGGAAAAGAGGAAGGTGCCGCCGGGCAAACCTGACAAGGGACTAGCTGACATCTAGCAGCCTGTTCTCAAGGACCATAGTAGGTACTTCACAGATGTTGATTTAGAATTTAATTGGCTGATTAGATTTTTTTAAAAACGTATTCATGTAATTACAGCTTTGTCTATCCTTATATAAAGTGTTGGAATATGTGTTTTTATTGTGGTGGGGTAACGGTTTGATTCTATATAAAAAAAAAAAACAAGACATTCCCTATTGTTGTCAAAATTCATTGTTCATTCATATGGTATAGTATGTAGAGTACACATTTGACTCTTTTTTGCAAGGAATGGCTGAGATTAGCTGATGCTGCTTGTGAATAGACCACTGACACTGTTTGAGTGTTTCTGAAAATCAAGGTAGTTCTAAACCACACCTCCATTCTTGTTTTACTGATTTGACTCCAGGTTTGCTAGCACCACACTCCAGTTGGCATTTGGTGACATCAGAATGTTTAATGGGTGTGTTTAATTAGTAAAGACATGAAAGATCATGACTGTTCGTGTTTTATCAGCTTAGATATATTGAGGTTGTTTTTATGACTTTGGTGGAGATTAGATCACATTTCATGACCAATTAATACAGAAAACCAGGAAATTGCAAATGGTGCCATTTCTTTTTCTTGCATCTATAGTTTTGTATAAACATGAAGATCTTTACATGCATCTGTCTGTCTGCTAAATGAAACTGTAAGCTTCCAATTACTGTATAACTGCACTTACTGTTTAATACACATGACTTCTGTAAATATCACATGGGTTTAAAGTAAAGAAGTAGTCTCAAGGATTAAACTGAGATCTTGGTGTCAGTGCGATTCCATGGTTGATACTGTCAAGGAAATGAGATATTCTGCATAATCAATATGTGTTGACAATATAATGCAATATTAATCAATATGTTTTTTGGATGTAATCAATAAGGAAAATATCTTTGTCATGCACTGTAAATCCAGATCCTTCATATGTCAGATTTGTACTGTTTTCAGAAGAATAAAAGCTCTGAGTGACAAAGATAAACTCACATCCATTTGTGTCTCTGGGCTTGGCTCCTATGAATCTACTTGGGATATTTTGAAAAAGTAATAGCGGACTGAAGAAAATCCACAACACATATCACAGTCAAAAGGTCCATCAGCTGTCTGGAGCCTTTCTGATGTAATTTACATAGTCTCCCTGTGTCTGGGTGGGATTTCATTATGGAAGTAAATCCCCACTAAAACATTTGAGGGTGCACAAACTACATTTCAAGTTTTTGCAACTCAGCATCTGAGAGCACACATGCACATATTTGTAAGTTCACAATTAGCTTTGAGAGCATAATCCCAGCGATGAATGATTTTATTTCTGGGTCTGTGTGCTCAGATTTCTCCACTGGGTTTTGTGTGAAAGTCTGTAGGCGCCAAAATCTTTGAAAGCACAGAAAACAGAAAACAAGTTTCAGGCATTCTGCAGTTTACAAGTCAGAATTTGAGAGCGCAAAGGCACAGATTTGTAAGAGCAGTAATATTTGAGACTGAAGGAGGATCCCTGCTGCTCACTCACACCATATGTTGTGCTCACAATTCTGTCCTCCCTCTCTCTAAAATCTGTTTCTGCTTTTACAAATCCATGCCTGTGTGCTATCAAACTGACACTTGCAAACTGAATGGTGCTCAAACTGTGCTTTTTACACTTTCAAACCGTTTGGCACTGACAGGCAAAACATGTGCACGCACATACACAAAAATTCCTTTCAATTAATCAAGAATATAGACCAATTTCTTTAGCACTAAAATGGTGGTGAGCTGTGGTTTTAATTCTGTACTTTAAGTGAAATAAATTCTTACCACATCCACACATA